TACGACTTTTTGTCGTCAAGCTACACAGATTGTGCTAAAGCTAATTTCGAAACTCGATCAGCAAGATCTTCGATCATCAAAAGTGACGGATACTTTGGAAAGGTCCGGCCGCCACTGAAGTCAGCAATATAACTGGCAACAGCCAAACCATCCGAATATTTAACTATATATATAGCATACACGTCAACTTCTCATTAGACTACAATCACATATGGTGATCTCGCCGCCGTTTCGCCCTTGAGCGTTTAGTACTCAATCTTCACCCATTTTTCTTCCTTCATGTGTTTACGACTCAAAAAACTATTCCCCTTTTTTATAGCCGATTACACTTCATTAACATTATCTTCAAATCCAAAAGCCTCGACACCACCCTCCATTTCATATCCACGCAGAAATCGAAACAAATCCGCTGCTTCCCTGCTTTTTGGAAATTGCAGACAAAACGCTTGTAACGGAATGAGAAAATCACTGACGTCGATTGTATTATTCCTGAACAACGACTGCGTGAAGACACAGACTAGTCTCACTTGGCGATGCTGAATACGAGGATTTTCCGTTTCTTCGCAAGCTCGAGCGCAATTAGAAATATATTTATGAAAGAAATCTGGGGGGAGCGTAATCGATGTGGTGAGGCGGTTGATTACTTCCATCGATGCTCGCATGCGGGTTACGACTTCTGTTGTAGAGTGTGGCGAAAGGTTTATGGAAATGAGAGATTCGAGGTAGCTAAATTGAATTGAATTAATTAGACATAGGTCAATTTAAAATAGTCGGTTAACTCGCCGTAACTTACTCATCAATATGCCTAGTCGATTGAAGTTTAATGAGAGCTTCAGCTGCAACACGTGGATTGTTCTCAACTAAATCAGGTATTTTATCTGGCGTCAGCTCGCAATGATAAATGATCTTGGGATCACTTTCCAATTGCTTGAGAACGTACTAAATGGACAAAGGCTTATCAGTCTTTTGGTAAAAACAATAACCTATTTGCATAGCATCAATGCTCACCTGCTCTTCCGGTATCGTCAAAGCCCTGCTAATAGCCTGAGCTAATAGATAACAAACTTCATCTCTATCTGCAAAGTCTGCAAGTACATTATAATATTCGATCTCAGGTACGGATCCATTTGGATTTAACCACTGAGGCTTGGACAATAAATGTAAAAATATCAAAAGTTATTGCATGACGTTTATAATAAATGTATGCTTTACGAATGTGTATTGAGCATTGACTATTGATCTCACCTCATCCTGCGCAGAAGGGGTAACTGGTGGACGTACAAGAGAAGCATCGTTGTTATTTAGTGAATCAGTCGATGTCCACTCAGTATTGTGATTGCTTCAGAAAACCAAAGATGTTAGTCTGAATTCCAAGGACGAGAACGCGTCAAGCGTAACTGATTACCTCTCGCTAGAATTGAGCTTTTTTGGATATCGAACATCGAGCTCTTGTTTAATGTAATGCTCAAATTCAGCCACATTGACCTCTTCGCTATTAAATACGGGGGTTTCAAGGCTTGCAAACTGCCCGAAAATATCACCAGGCGTCTTCTGACCCAACTGAGTAAAACCGTGAAATATAATAGATTAATCCGTGAATTGACAACATTTCTTTCTATAATCGTAAAGAACAAATAGATTGATATTTACTTGCGTAGCATTATCGGTCAAGATCAATTTGTCCACGTAATACTCAACCACTAGCTCAGAGTCCCGATGGGAGGTATTGAATTGCGAAGATAGGGATTTGTAAATGTTCAAAAATAATGAGAGAAAAGGATTCTGCTGGATCGGCACAACATTGTACAAGCTGTACAATATGTAGAGAGCCACAACTCGCGAGTTAGCCTGGCTTATACGAATAACGATAAGCGGAATTTTTATTATTCGATCATTCAAAGTATTCCACAGTCACCAACCAATAAGGGTCAATTGGAATGATTTCATTGAAGACATATGAAAGTGCAAGAATGTGTTTGAACATGATAGATCAAATAATAAAGTAAGAATATAAAAACACCATTAAACGCACCATCGCTTCTCAATAAACAAAAAAACGTCTCAGGCAAAAGGTTCAACCTGCAATTCGCCACTCTCCAACAATCCCATTAACGCACAGGCAGCTTGGAACCTTTGTTGTTCAGGTACGATGACCTTAAATTCTGATGCAATGTTCTCAAAAGGTTTGTCAACTATCGAAAGAAGGTCTCGGAAAACTTTTAGATCCATGCTTTGTTATTGCGGCGTCTTTTGAGTAAGTAAAGCTTATCAAGAAAACAGTACTATAATGCGAAGGGTTCACCCGTAAACTGGAGTGATCGAGGGAATTAAGGAAGTTTTGAAATGAATAACTACACAACTTGGAAAAAAAAATCGAAACAAAAAAAGATCGTAGAGTAGATTTTGTGACACAATCTAAGGAATCAAATATTTGTTTGGGCACCAATTATTTATTTACTTTGGGTCATATATCAAAGCACCTATTAGAACAAGATTTGCTTTATTACTCTTACTCGCTTTAGGAAACAAACATTCTACTACTTCATTTCATACAAATTTACCGGTTGCTGACTACAAGAATTCCGAATATATGACGAGCAGGTCCAGGAAGCGACAAGGAGCACGAGCAAACTGACCTAATTTCATCGTAATTTTTTAATTGTTACTAATCAAAACGCCTCCTCCAACTGCGAATAAATGACATTTCTGTCATTACTCACAGTGAGTGTTTAAATCATGATTGAATTGCAAAAAAAAAAAAAAAGGCTATAATAGATATTAATTTGAGCTTGAAAAGGCGCCGGAAAAATGCAATAATCATAATAATAATAAAATGATTAGAAACATAATTTTTT